CACTAACCTGCTTTCCAGCTCCGTTCTCCTGTGCAGGGCAACCAAAGAAGGCCCAGCCGATCAGCTGGGACTCAATGGGAGGCAGAGAAGAGATGGGGGTGGGGCCAGTCAGAGGTGGGATTGGCCGGTTCTCCAAACTACTCAAAATGTCCGCTATCGGTTCTCCAGAACTGGTCAGAACCTGCTAAATTCACCACCTCTGACGGGTTTGCCGTTTGGGCCCTTGGCAGAGGGCTCCCACTTATGACTGGTTGCAGTTTCCTGTGTGATCATGGTTTGTGATCATCTCAACCGGCTTCTGACAAGCCCAGCCTCATGAGGGAAGATGGATTCACTTAATGACTGTGGTTAAAAATGGTCACAAAACCGGGGGCAGTCCTGTGATGACTTCCCCTAATGAGCGCTTCACTTAGTAACTGAAATTCTGGTTCCAGTGGCGGCTGTTGGATTCTCATCCTGCCCCGCCAAACCAAAATTGGTGGAAACCATCATGTCAGCTATTCTTGCTCCTTTGCAAGAAGACCGGTTGATAAACCGAAAAGACCCCTGGAAGCTGACTACAAAGTAGCCCTCGACTTACGACCACGATTGAGCCTGAAATTTCCGTTGCTAAGTGAGACAGTTTACATTTTGGCCCATTTTATTATGACTTTTCTTGCCACATTTGTTAGGGAATCTGTAATGACCTGGGGTGTGACACAAAAATACTCTAAATGCTCTGATGGTCATTTTGAAAAATCCTTTCTTAGTGAGCCCCTAGAAGCCAAGAGGGACATAGGTGGCAAATGTCAAGTTTGTAGGCTTTACGGTTCTGGAGATTTTGTGATGTGTGAGTGGGATTTCGCTTTTATATATATAGAAGAAAGGGAGGTGCTAGAGGAGGCGACGCAGCAGCAGAAGCAAAGGAAAAGAAGCAAAGGAAGACAAAAATAAAAAGAGAAGGAGGATGGAGGATGGAGGAGGAGAAGAGGAGAAAGAGGAGAAGGAGAAGGAGGAGGAGAAGGAGGAGGAGGAGAAGAAGAAGAAGAAGAAGAAGAAGAAGAAGAAGAAGAAGAAGAAG